CGCGTTGCGATTCTTGAAAATCGCAATGCGAATTTGTACTATCGCATTGCGATTTTCAAGAATCGCGTTGCGATTTTGGAAACTGATTTGCGATTCTGGGGATCGCGTTGTGATTTTTATTTCGCGTTGCGATTTTGTTGGTCATTTTGGCAAATCCAAAAAAAGTTGGTTAAAATCGTATATTATAAGGCATTTTTGGTCACTGAGGCGATTTTCTCTTAAGTTATTGGGAGCAAAAAATTAAAGGGAGAAATAAATGCAGGAGAAGCGTTATCCTCATGCAAGAGAAGTAAATATGGGAAATGAGGCCAATAAAGCGGGCGTAGTGTCCGGTGTTTGGGGTACCCGAGCAAGTTGTGTCACGTTTCCACCAGCCATTTAATTGGCCCTCTTGTTTTGTGGGTCTTTTCTACCTGACTTGTACTATATAGCTCGGATTTTGTAAGTGAAGCAATCAACCATGGCCCATCCCTTCATCAATATCATGTACCCAACATCATCTTCCATCCATCTTTTCATCTTGTTTCTTTCATGCCATTGTCTTGGGACCATTATCCCTCAACCGCCAACCCATCATTTTTAATTCATTTCATTATTTTTATTTAGGGTTTATGGTTAAATGAATGCTTTACACGAATCAAATGATCTCACCAGTTAAGTGATGATTGTTATTTTTAGAGAATCTTAGGTTCGAGCATGACATCTTTAGGGTATTTGAACATTCGTTGTTAAATGATTGAGAATCTTTTGAACATATATTATTTTGTAATCACTATAAATTAATAAAATAATAATTTATGATTGATTTTTAAAAAAATTCCGATTGATCACTTAAAACACAATCTGGGACTTCATTGAATACTATTATAGAAATTTGAAGCTCCACTCATCGAACTATTTTGAGATGGATTTAAAGATCGCTCACATGGTTTGCATAGCTTGAGCTTATTTGGTATACACTTTTTTTTACAATTAAATAAAAAAATTCAAGGTTTGAGTTTTAAGTTTATATATATTATTAGAGTTTTATGGCCTAATTTTTTTTTTATCACATATGAGATACTTAATAAAAAATTATTTAAGATAAAGATCAAGGTAGGAATATATGATGGTTATGAATAGTCTAAACGGTATAATACTCTATTTTCTTCTTTTTTACGTTTTTTTGGTACAGTAATTTTAGGGTTTAATCAATAAGTTTATATAATTACACTCTTCCCAAAAAAATATGTCAAGTAGGACGTACAACACCATCATTTATAAACTTTAGGATCTTCTTTTTCTTTTTTGATGTGGGATTAATGTTCCATACCACTTCAGGGCACGGCATTCTCTCTTATTCAATCTTGTGATGTTATCGTCAAGGGTTATTGTCACAGTTGTTCACCTTGCCTACCCCCACTTATTAAGTCAAAAAGTCGTTTTGTTGTTATTTTTTATCGGTTTAGTATACCATTCCCGAAATAAATATTTGGTAGGATATGCCAAGGCACTACTTAAAAACTTAAGATATCTCTTTTTTCTCCGATGTTAGATTAATGTTCTCTACCTCTCCAAGACATAACGTTAAATTAAGATTAAAACAATAAAAACAAAAAAATCGATTAAACTTAAAAATTTTGCGAGTACAAATATCTCGTCTACATGTCATTATTAGATGAAACAATAAACAAAACTTACAATAACTCCGATCCCCCGGTGAAGATCAAATTGCAGAACCTGAATAAGTAGTCGTTATGTCCTTTGGATCAAATATTTGGGGCATGATGGATAGTGGTAGGTTGATGATTAATATTTGCTGGTCCGATGATTTCAATTCTCTCCATTGTTTGATGTTTACAAGATACCCTTCCGGCAAAAAAGTGGGGGGTTTGGCTTTATACTGATAAATAATGTAACATGAACATCATACATAATATGCTTTTATTGCAATTGCATCTAAAACAACCGAAAAGAAAGCAACTTAATAGCTCCCCGACCTAATATTCTGAACACCGTATGTTGGCATTAGTTGAGTTTTTTTAATAATTTATTCAAAACGTTTTTATTTTATTGATAAAGTACATACACTCTGCAAACGTCACTACTTGAATCGAGAATTTTTAAGGAGATCAACATTTTCCTTATCACTGAGATCACTCAATAAGTTCGGGTATTAGTTGAGTTAGTATCCATGTTGTCGTACACACATTTATAGGTTATGCTTTCTCCTCTTGATATTTATATTCTTTAAATTTTATTTGAAAAATAAACATGTGTAATATATATCAAAGACATATAATTACACAAAAATAAGTTAAAGAGCAGAAGTAGTAACATACGTTTATAGATTTTATCTTTAATTTTTCAATGTGTAAATGTTTAAAAAACTATATTTAAACATTTGAAAAAGCTTATATTTACGCAGTATGAGATTTGAAAATTTCATGATCAAAACATAAGATTTAAAATATTTGAGATTAAAGTATAAAAAATTATCTTTAACTGTCATACTGATATATATATATATAATTTTAAACATACACTCATTAAATGATTGAAGATAAGACTTATACACGTATGCCATTGTTATTGTTCGACACATACTCGTGCAATTACATGTCTTTGACATTTAGTTTACATGAATATATATATTTTTTTTGATAAAATTCATACTTTTTTACTTTTTAACATATTATTTTCACTTCTTTCAGTTTGATCATGAATACTGCCAACATTAAAAGTTGTACTCTGAAACGTTGCCACGTCAGTAAATAAACGTCATATAAGACACTTTAAAAAAAACATAGTTTACATGACACGCCTCGACTAAAAGGATACTACTTCCTTGAAAGATATTTTTAGAGATATTTACGGTAAAAAAAATTTATGGTATTTTTCTAATAAAATTGATTTTATTTCGACCATCGAACAAAATTATCGTCAATTAGATCACTAATATTTATTTTGACGTCAATTAAATTAAATTTTTAATAAAAATTAGAGGTCTCATTAAAATCCCTTTCATATCAAATAACATATAAGGATGTACGTCATTGCATAACGGAAGAAGAAAAAAATACCTCATAATATTAATTAAAAGACCAAAGTCCAATCAACGAGAGTTGATTCAAGTGGTAAGCAACTTGATTCCGCTTGAGTATGTCTCGAGTTTGAATCATTGTGAATGCATAAAATCCCCGTTGGAAGACTCACCAACCAAAATTAGGTGTGCGACCCGGTTCGGTTCAGATTAATTAAGACGAAGCCTTGGAAACTAGAAATACAAAAAAAAAAAAAAAAATCCAATACAACCAACACAGAAGAAACTAACAATAACAAATCAGTGCTAAACAACTAAAGCTCAAGCAATGAATCAACCTATCCCTTGTTTAGCCAACCCATAAGATAGAGTTTCCACTTCTATGGATAAAGCGCATAATAACAGCCCTTTCCTGTACCAATGACATACAAGAGCGGAGAAGACCGGCGGAAAGGAAGAAGGAATTGCAATCCAATCGACAACAGATTTACAACCGTTCTCCAAAATCAAGTGAAGTTTACCGCACCTAACTAAGGATTTGAATAGAATTAATACGAACTTCATTACCAATAGATTCGGAAAAAGAAGCCACATTTTTAATATCAGAATTTCTAAGAATTCCAACAATATCAGATTTTTAACATCGTACCATGATTGATTGATGTCAATCAAATTATTTGTTATTGAAAACTTAACTAAAATAGTAATATATTTGATATAATGACAATTTTAATCTTAAAATTCATACGTTCTTGTATCAATTTAATGATTAAATATGTAGTTTAGCCATAATTTCATCAAAACCTTTTCTCATCGTAGTTTTAGTTCGAACATTCAACTACATGTCATCAAAACCATGTTGGTTTTCATAGAATTTATGTCTGTGAGTTATTTATCCTACCGGAAAGTATATTATAACATTAATTATCATTGCCTTTCCTATTTCTCATTGTCTTTCGGTCAATAGATTTTTCTTTTCTTTTAGTTTAATAGATTAAGTGCTTTTCAAAATTATATTTTTTTAGTGGAGTTGAATAAATAATAAAGTAAACGTGTCAACTCTAGAACGACAATAAATTTAACTATGTTTATTTTTATTATCATTTTTAGCAAAAATTATGAATTATAGAACAATAATAAATTTGATAAACGGGAAACTACTTAAATTATCATTGTCTATTGTTTTTTTGGTTAATAGAATTAGGTATTATTTTTAATAAATTGTGGCAGCTATCTAGGCTTGAAGGTGTAGGATGAATTTATTAATTAAAAAGAAATGTTTATTTATTTCTTCATTTAAGTTTGATTACAGACTTGTAAAGTCGCATTTCCTGAAAAAAAGAAAAATCAGAGTTATAACTCAAGTTGTGATGTCAACTTCAGGCATTTTTATCAAAGTTTACAATTTTGTCTCACTTCACTTAATTTGGAAATATACATGCATATTTACATACCGATGGATCTAAATTAAGTTTAAAACTGAACATGTTTTATTATGAAATTTAATACTAATGGATCTAGGTTAAGTTTAAAGCTGAACACGTTTTATTATGAAATTTAAAAGTTTTATTATTTATTTATCTTATTAATTGTTCTTTCTGAAGTTATTTATATTTATTCCATACAAAAATATGTTATTAATATATACATGCATGCATGCACACGTATATTCATATATTATGGACCATTAACTAAAAATTCACCAGACTTTCTTTGTTCATTCATAGACACAGAAAGAAAAAGACATACTTAATGGGGTGTGTAGTAAATATACCAAAATGCTTGATAAAACAACACATATCTTCATTTCCCTCTTCTTCCGTCTCTCTCTTTCTCTCTTACAATATTAAGACCTTGTACCTGTATGTACAATAGACATCAATATTTCACCTGTCTCTATTTTGTTTTAAACCCCTCCTTCTCCACTAGGGACTTATATTCTCACAAAAACAAAAACATTCATATTGATAAACCTCCCATGGAGCCTCCTAGATCTTCAGGACCATCTCTCTCGGAAACTTCCACCGTTAACTCGATCTCGAACGGCCTCGGCGCCAAGCAACATGAAGATGACAACTATGATCTTGTATTGGATCTGAGTCTTTCCGGCAAAGACGACTCGAACACAGTTCAAGACTCGAAACAAACCGCACTCAATCTCATCGACTGTTTCAAGATCGTCGATCCGTGTGACGATCGGGATTCGCCGGAGACTCTGAATCAACAAGGTAACGCAACTGATCAGCCTAGAGTGTTTTCGTGTAACTATTGCCAAAGGAAGTTTTTTAGCTCACAGGCCTTGGGTGGGCACCAAAATGCTCATAAACGAGAAAGGACACTAGCCAAACGAGGGCATCAAAGAATCAGTGCCGGTGCGGCGGCATCCTTCGTGGCGTTTGGTAGATATTTGACCATGGACTCTGAATCAACAAGGTAACGCAACTGATCAGCCTAGAGTGTTTTCGTGTAACTATTGCCAAAGGAAGTTTTTTAGCTCACAGGCCTTGGGTGGGCACCAAAATGCTCATAAACGAGAAAGGACACTAGCCAAACGAGGGCATCAAAGAATCAGTGCCGGTGCGGCGGCATCCTTCGTGGCGTTTGGTAGATATTTGACCATGGCCTCGCTTCCTTTGCATGACTCATTCAATAAGTCACTTGGGATTCAACTCCACTCTATGATACACAAGCCAACTTTTCTACCATCACCACATGTTTATGGGCACCGCAAATGGTCTCGACAGCCAATTCATCAAACACTGCCGATCGGACATCTTTCGATGGAGACTTTTGCCGCTGCCGGATCATCGGTGAGTAACAGTACGGCTTCTAGGTTAGAAAGTAGTGTTCGGAAGTTCGGTCCGTCGACAGAGGGGAGGAGTAGGTATTGGTGGGATAGTAGTGTTAACCCTTTCAACACTAATCAAGATGAGTTGAAACTCGACTTGTCTTTGAAGCTCTAAGTAGCCTTAGTTTTAATCATCTAATGACATAATCTTCTAGTTAACTTGCTTTTCTAATCTCACTAGAGTTTCCTTTTGCCTTATTTTCCTTTTGAGTTGTAGTTTGATCTTCTGTAATTGCATCTTGGTTAGACAAGACTTATAGAGATGCTTCCAAATTCATTTCGTTAAGTTCTATTTGATCCACTATTATTCTTTTTTAACATGGATGATTCTTCCTTGATACATGTTATTTACGAATTTAAATGATAAAAGACTGATTATATACATATAGATAGGATTCACCTACATTTAGTGTAAAACTTTTGGTTTTATATATTTTTAAGTTCATAACATGTGAGAAATAAATGACTTCGATTATATTTTTTCTCCTCTGAATATATTCTCATATCTTATTGTTAACCTTAACTATATATTTTCAGTTTTCACTTATTAAACGATCTTAAAATTGTGTAAAACTAGAAAGTTTTATACGATGTATATATAAGGTTGGGATCCACTTACACCTAGTATTAAACATTTAGTTTTATAATTTTCTAGGATCGTTGGATAAATAGAAATAGATGACTTATATTATTTTCTTATTTTTTTCTATAAATATCTTTTTATTTCGTACGGTTAATTTCAGTCGTCTATTTTCACTCATCTAATGATCCTAAAAAGATATAAAATTAAAATAAAATATAGTGTAAGTGGATTCTAACTAACTATATATATTAATGTCAAAAAGTGACTTTAGCAGTTGAAGATTGCTTTTGTTCACACTTTGCATGACCTAAGTTTTCAGTTTCTATGGTGCATGAAGAATGAAGATGCAAATTTGTACGCACAAGTATATAATTATGGTAGCCTAGCAATATTTTCAAGGATTCCATTTTTAAATGTATTGTAAATTTGTATGTACAAATTTACACGTAGAACTTGACAGTAAGTATAAAATTATGGTATTTGTAGTGCATAAAGAATGAAGATGAAAATTTGTATTTACAAGTATATATAATATGCGTGGGATTATTTCAAATTGTTTCGTATGTAACACATACGGTCCACTACGGGTATACAAATTGGATGGTTGTGAACTTGTGATTGTCTAAGATGACAACATTTTTACCCACTTATAGTTTAAAAATAAAATAAAATTTAGCCGTGTAATCGCATCATTTAGAATATTATATTGTATAATAAAATCTTATATGTCTTAATCTCTTACCTAAGTGAAATGGGTCCAATCAAAAGTGGGTCTAGATCGTTTCAATGGGTACAATTTAGATCATGCAAATCATTATTCTATAAAACATGATTTCTATATTATGACGGGGAATCATTTCCATATTTGATATATTAAAATTTGAAATTTCACATTTCCCAAAGCTGCATGGTGAAAATCAGATGGACTGTCAGTTCCCTGTTAGTTTGTAATTAATATTATTATTTTTGAAAGAAAAAAAATACAACCTTTGATTTTGCCTCTCAATTAAGAAACACTTTAAAATTTTGAAAGCGATGTATGAAAACTATGAGGCTATTAATTTACAGGATGAGAATTAGGTGAAAAATTCAAGCAAGCAAGCAACTAGTCTTCCTTCTCAAGGTCATGCAATAATAACCAAAGATGTGTATTTTTTTACCATTTTAAACTTATTTATATTATTGAATCGAATGATAATCTAATGTTTTTAATATACCGTCTTAAAAAAAATATATAAATATTGAATAACAACATTACCAGATAGCATAATATACAGTTTTTACAAGTTAAAAATTCATTTAATATAATTTTTGAAAAATTTTATATTTTGGCAAGTTCATTTTACTATTCGTAGATTTCTGATGTAAAGGCTTTGCCTCCTCTTCACTAAAAAAAAGTGTATAACAAAATATTTTAGAATTATTATTGGTATATGTAATCACTATTTTCCGTTATTTATTATTATTATTATTATTATAAATAAGACAAATAAAAAGAAATTTTAATTAAATGTCCAAGCCCAACTACATGCAAAATAGATAAGTTACCCAAGTCCAAAGAAAAAGGCCACGTGTGCAGTAATTAGGGTTTCTAACTTTGTCTTCAGTCGCCGCACGCCTGTAGCTGTCAGATCTGGACCTCATCCAACGATCCAGATCTACTCTCGATTAAGGTTTCACCCTTTAACCCTAATGAAGGTCCGCGCCGCACGATATCCACTATCAAATCTAAACCCTATCTAATGGTCCAGATCTAATGGTGATTAGGGTTTCACCCTAAACTATCATCAGCACTGTCGCCTCCACGTGTTGGGTCATCACCATGTGCCCGATCAACGCCCACCCGTGACTCCTTATCGGTTCCCCATGCACAATCTGGTGATGTCGTCGTCGTCGAGATTTCCACCAACCACTGCAGAGAAGAATAAACAGGCTTCGGGGTAAATTTTTTTACCCCGTACATTTTTCGAGGTCACCGCCGCTTGTGAAGTTTGTCTCCCGTCGGATTCCCCTCCTCAGACAGAGCACCCAAAAGCCAAAAAGGGAAAAAACAAACAAAAAGAGATCATAAATCTCTTTTCTCCTATTTACATGCAAAACAGAGAATAAAAAAAGGGGAAGGAGTCTTGTTTTATAAAAGGGAGTTCCATCAACAATCAAAAGGGGGAGGAAGATAGAACATATAGGGAAAAAAAGGGAAAAAAAAAGAGAAAAATCCTTACCATTTGAATTCCTCGACTGTCCTCACCGGAGTAGGAAACAGCTGATGTTGAAGGTAACTCTTTGCATGTCACAGATCTAGAAAGATAGAGACCTCGGGTTCACGAAAAGAGATATTTAGGGTTATATTTTAGGATTTCGGGATGGTTAGGGGTTATTTTAGGTTAAAATGGCTTGATTTTTTAGCTTTAAGGGTTAGGGGAATGTTTTAAGATCGCCATCGTCGCCGTCACTCGCGATGGCCAATGAGGCGTTCGACTTATCTCCACAACGGAGACAGGACGAAGGAGAGGAGAGTTTGAGAGAAACTCTCTCACTTTCTGTTTTTAGGCAAAAAATGGGAGTGTTTGAAATGAAATGGTATAATCATTTTAGGCCATTTTTAGGCTTTTATACCATGGATTAAACGATGCCATTTTGGGGAGGGAAAACAAGTGTTTTGGGGTCATGGGTTAATACCTTCCGAACCATTCCTAGATTGTAAACATTAAAATTTAGTCACTAAGTGTAGGTTTTCATCATTTTATTTCAAGCCCTAAATTTTATTTCATTTACATGTTAGCCACTATGCATGCTTTGTTATGTTTTGATCAAATATTTGAGTTGATCCCCTAAATTTTAGTTTTACTACACTTTAGTCCTTAATTTGTCACGCTTTAAGAAATAGAATATTTATACTTTAGATCCTCCTAGTTTATTAAATGATCATCATTGTCACTAATTACATGTTTATTACATAAAACATAAAATGGTTTATTACCAATAGATCATGTGGTTTTTCCCTAGTTCTGAGTTAGCCCTTTTAATTTTATTTACTTCGTATCTAAGTTAATGTTAGTGTTCATTTGTTTATTTTAGAACCTTAATAATATTAATTTGTTAAATATTTTATTATAAAAAACGTTAGAATACCCCTGAAATTCGATAATGTCTATTATTAGACTTATTTAATACTCACATTAATTTTCAAGAACGAATTTCATAGAATGGGCGTGAAAAGTGCGACCTATCAAAGTAGTACAATTCAATACGAAATTCGAATGAAAACGAACCTGAATATAAGCGAGTACGCCTTAATAAAAAATGAATAAATAATTATTTTAATAATAACCTTGTATTTTTCTATTTTTGATAAATTTCTTCAATTTTTAAATTTTATTGTATTTATGCTTTATATGAGATGCTAAATAAATAACAAGGGAATATTCTCGTATAGGAAATAGGTGGATGGGAAAGCATTCCCGTTAGAGGGCGTACAAATCATATGACCTCTTCTCAAAATAGGACATATTTCTTTGGGTTCGAAACGAATTAATTTGTAACCCCCTCAGACCGATGCGGATAGCCCGATCCGATCTGGAGTGTCACATTAGGGTCACCGAAGCGACCCACCGTAAAAATAGTGGAAAATTAAAAACTTTTGTCAAAACATGTAACTCATAAAATGATTTATTATTATTCAAAAATAAAACAAGTTTTTCATACTTAGATATAAAACGAAATACAATCTACATGCCCCTAATCACATATATCATTCTCTGAAAGCAACGCCGAAAGAACTCTCTTATTGATATCAATAGCTACACTGGTACAATTCTTTTATCCTGTAATTGTGAGTAATAGAGTGAGCTTCGGAAAGCTCAGTAATACAGAACTACCAGATGATGCTACATGACATGTAGATAAATGGAAAGCTATATAATTTCCTTATTGAATCAGACGTATATCCATTGCGGAATAATCTGAGGTTCCATCAGTAGTTCATCAAGTTGAAGCCATGAAGATCGCAGTTCATAAGAAGCATTCAAAGTATGACATTTTCAGGAGATCGAATATGATGTCTAGTGCGTTCCAATCAAAACCAGTGAAAAGATATAAATCTTTTAAAATCATAGTTGAACCCCCAACCAAACTCAATTATGCAGTTCCAGTGAACTGCATCCATAGGGCTTGCCCTCAGCACACAACAAAAGGAGAGCCAACCTAAGGATATACCTTGGGGCCTATGGGCCTACTCAAGGATATCCTTATATCCGTAAGGTTACCTTAAGCACACAACAAAAGGGAACCAACCTAAGGATATACCTTGGCTTACCCAAGGACATCCTTAGATCCGTAGGGTTGCCTTATGCACACAACAAAGGGAACCAACCTAAGGATATGCCTTGGCCTACCCAAGGATATCATTAGATCCGTAGGGTTACCTTATGCACACAACAAAGGAAACCAACCTAAGGATATGCCTTGGGCCTACCCAAGATATCCTTAGGTCCTTAAGGACTTACAGCCAAATCAGGGTTGTGCCTCCATACTCCAGATTCCTATCCATATAAAAATCCAGTATAAATCAAT